TTTATGTTGTGTGAATATGCTCACTAGGAATGTTAATTCACAAACACACTGTTTCTACGGATTTGTGAGTCTGATTTAAAGTTAAAAACAAAGAGAGAGAATATCACTTTATTCCCTCACTGTGTGCAAGTTTAGTTCTTGTTTCTTTTTGAGATAGAGATGAAACAGCTGAATTCAAAGCACCGGATTATTCGCAGATGTGCTTCAGCTGAGAATGAGCACTTCGTCATCTGATTGCGGAGGCCTCTCATCCTTTTTTTTCTTCATCAGACTTGAATGTAGTACATCTTCAGCTCTGCAGATGAGGCCAAACTGGACAGGGACAATTAAAGGAGGGATAGCTCTTGACAAAAAAAAAACAGGACAATGGTACTGTTTGGTGAATTCTCCAAAAGCCCCCAAAAATACAATGAAGGAGCACATCTGAAATGGCAGAGAGACTGTGTGAAACTACTGGCATATTATCTCCACACTGCATGATGTTACTGTTGAACACAGGCTTCCTGTGGAACTCCATTAAAAAATGGAGGCTGTGTAAAAGTACGGCAAGAGCTCATGAATAACGCCACCCTGCTATTTCTGAAAAAGACCTTCTAGTTTCAGTGAACTAGTTTCAACAGAACCACATTAGAGATGTTGATAATTTGATCTTTTTTTTTTTGTACTGAGAACCAATGTCCCCATGTGTATGTGATGTTTAGACTAACTGTAATATCTGTAAGGTGCCATAGCATGATGTTTCCCCCTAGTGGTATAAGTACTAAAACAAATGCAGTGTTGGAATGTAGTCCCCCTAGAAGCTTCATACAGAGGGATTTCTTCACATTAATCAGGCTTTTTTTTCTTATCAGTAAGAGATCAGTAAGAGATTTTGCATGACCAACTACACTGAAGGAGCATATTTATAAAAATGTATCTAGTTACTAACTGAGTTAAAAGATATAGACCATTTCTGCATAAAATCTAGTAAGAATTCCCATTAAATAGCTTTTTTTTTGTCTGATCTCTGTATCATCTGACAGCATGAGAAAGAACCTGCAGCAGAAAGTAATACCGTATTAATCTAATCAAATTTCTAATGATTTGCATGTCAATTGTTTTTTTATTTTAGATGTGCGTTCATAGCCACAACTTAGCACTTGAACAATGTATTTTCCTCCCAAACTATTCAGAGTTCAGTTTTAAATCATCGTTTGGTGAATACAGAGTTAAAAGTTGACAATGAATCAATTTAGATTCAAGAGGAAGAAATCACAGTCTGAGTCTCTGACTTGTCTGGAGCAGTGGAAATTGGGCATCGCTGTTTACTGAAACTTGCAGGTCGGGAAAAGGCAGCCATGTGGGATGTCATGTCAATACAAAGCAGGCGGGACTGTCCTTGAGTGGTTTATTGTGGAAATGTAGACAGAAGCATTACTACCTTACAACACACTGTGGGACAGTGGGCCTGGATTCTTTGTTTGTATCAGCACAGAAAGCATCAGGAGGAAGGCATAATGGGGTACCCCCTGACACTTTTCCAGGTCAGAGACAAGTAACATTTGCTGCTCACAAGTAGGATTTTTTAGTTTTGTGAAATGCAATCCACCTGTGCTGCACATTTTATAGTCCCCTAGGGTTATCTGTGTACCTTGGAAATGAATTGTTAGTCTCCTGCTGATTAAAATCAAGCTTTTGTTGACAGTTTGATGATCAGATATCTCCCAAAAACCTTTCTGTGAAGTGTTTCTCATCCCGTAATTGAGAGTCAAGCTCCTGAAAAGGGAAGAGATAATACGGTTTTCTTTTCAGCTCAGACAGAAATGCAGATTTTCAAATATTTATCAAATTGTTCAATGGGTTTAAAAACTTTAGGTGAAATAAATCCCTCCAAGCTATAAGAAATGTGCTTGCTCTTGCCTCCTTGTTGAAAGTTAGATGAGATGATTGATATTCAATACGTAGTGTGAAGCAGCCCGTTTAGCTTAGCTTAGATAAACATTCTGGAAATGAGTTGGGCACTATCCAAATGTAAAGGTATCCAGCTTTTGTTTTCTGTAAAAGCAAACCAAAAAAAAAAAAAACTCTCATGAGTCTCCAGTGGCTACCTGCAAACCTCAGACAACACTGGTCAAGCTTAGTTAGGCCAGCATGCTACTGGATCCATCTTCAAACAAACAACAACAAAACAAACCTAGGTACACATGAATAGAATTGATTTTCTCTTGCTTTAGGCAATCAACAGAATAAATGACTATATTTCACAAGGATGTGTTGCAAAGCCTCTGATAGTCAGTCAGTGATCGACAGAACATGAAACACAAACTCTTGTTTTTCGAGTTCTTTCTAATGGCTACAGAAACATGCTAAAATGACAACAACCAAAACAATGTTGTTGTTGCACATGTTTCATCTGTGTATTGTCGTCATAGTGGGAGACCAGAAAGCAGAGAGGGATGACAAAGCCCCTGTGCTAACACCCTATAATTAAACAGAAATTGCTGCTTTTTCCCATGCCCCATTCCCACCTCATGTCTCCTGTTTTAAGCAGCATGCATCATTGCACGGCTAAACTTAGTCTGATCAAACTTATTAATGACTCAGCTGACAACTTAATGGTAAATGAGCATAAACAAAGCTTCAGCTTCAAGACAAACTGTCAAGCGGGAAACAAATGGTGCTATTTTTCTCCACCAGCCCTACAATCCAAAGCATCTAAAAGTCAATATTCACACTTGGCAGTTCAGACAAAGAAGAAGACAAGGTGTAAGAAGCACACAACATTGCAGCGTGCCACAGGCCTGCAGCGTCTCACGCTATTGATTCGATCTCCATCTTTACATGTTGCATGCATGTTACAACAGCGTCACGGACCTCGCATACTAAGGCACCATCACAACGTAATGACAGTCACATGTGCAGCCAGTTGACAAAAATAAACCAAACACCACACCTGCAGAGGCTGGAAATGATGTGGGCAGATCTGACTCATTTGTCAGCAGACTAGTGGTGAGCTGAAAAGGACTTGGCAACGCTTGCTTTATATTACCCAGGGAGGTTTCAAATCTGCCGTGAGAGCTGCTGCTAGACTTGAATGTGAAGTCTACTTGAAAACAAATCAGCATGGCATGTGCCAACCATGGCAGACATGCATTTTACTCCAAATATATAAATGAATATACCTTGTAGCATAAATTGTCAGGTCAGTGCACAGCTTATTTGACCTACAAGGAAAATTTAAAGCAATGATGGAGGGGAACCATATTGTATTGATTGATAAATGCATTTTCCCTCTGTGTACAATTGGCTATCTGTCAGACCCGGGAACATCACTAGGGGCACAAATATGACCTTCTTTCTTATTGCCTGCCTTTTGCAAAGAGTGGCCTTGAATTCTCAGGTTAATATCTCTGCAATTTTTAAACCATAGCGACTTTTTCTGGATGAATATATTTAATGGGGAAAAAGGAAGGGAAAAATGGTGGTCAGGACAGCTTAGATATGGAATTAGTTTTATTCATGAGGCATATTGTGATAATGTCTGAGAACTGTGTTTAGTGCTTTACAGTTATGTAAAAGGGTGTCTAATCCACTCTATTCCAGCTTTTATCACAGCTATCAAAAGCTTAAAAAAGCAGGTATTTATGCAAATGCAAATGAGTACTGCTCTTAGCCCCCAATTTCTGCAGATGAACAAAAAACAGAACAAAAATTTGTTCAGTCTGCTATCAAACTCAACTAAAAGCTCTTCCTTTGCTGCATTTTTTTAGTAACTGTTTATTTTCTCTTTTTAGCTATTCCTTATCTGGATATTATTCAATTTGTAGCGGCCCTCTAGTCTTGTTTCATTTACTCCCATAAATCAAACAATCATTTAAATCGACCTTAGAAATAATGAGGACACAACTTTGACATGAACAGATGGAAGTCGGTGAGTATCTAGAATTGTTTAAAGTAATCATTTTGCGCCACACTTTCAGTTCCACAAGTCAGGGACAAATGTTGAAAATGTGGATGAAAGCATACTAAAGCAGGCTTGCACATTTGAAGTTGTTGATGGAAATCCTCACAGATCCCTGTTGACGTGGTCCCTTGATTGAGAATTATATATGTAACAGATCTTTTTTCTGCATAATTCAAGGGTTAAAAAAAACTCTCTGTGTCCTGAATATGCTGTCAAATATTATGCTTCTCTTTTTGGAGGTGCAAGTAAAATGATAAGTGCTACAAAAACAAATGGAGACTGGCTTGTTGGTCACTTTGTGTGCTCTGCTGTTGATAACCCACCAGCAGCCCGTGTTGTTTGTCTGCAGTGTTGGTTATGGATTTAAAACTCATCAGCACCACATCAATAAAACATTTAGGACCAGAACAGTCTGCACTTACCCTGCATATTCAGTCAAATTCAACTTAGACATTGTATTCATCTGTGCAAAACATGACAGTAAAGCCAGGAAACCAATGCATTCCCAGTGTCAGTGTATTTGAAGTTTTGATGAGTTCCATAAAAAAAATATTTCACCTTGTCTGTGCTCCCCTTCATTTTGCAGGCAAAGGCAGATGAAATTGTTGAAGGCTGAATATTTGCCCTTCCCAGCAATAACTGATAAGCAGCCCCATATGTCGACAGTGTTTTGTAGAGCAAATTAAACTGTTTTATAGGGCAGATACTGATAACATAGAACCCAGATTCTGTCTGAATAATGGTTCATCCTTCACGTGGCTCTGCCCTCTCATCTGCATGCAAGAATGTCAACTGAATAACCTTGGCATCTTCAAAGCAAGTCTCTCAGGTAATGGAGCCGCATCAGATTTTACAACTGATCAGCGCTTACTGCAGTTCTGATCCTGTAGATTCAAACCAGGAAAGGAGTTCATCGTGTATACAAATTCAGTCGGTTTTAGGATCGTAGATTTTTTATCTTATCCTCGACTTTTATTTTCAATAATAACATTTGTTGTCAATTTTTTCATTCTAATCACAGCATCATATCATATCATTAAAAAAAAAAAAAAAAAGGTTTTCATCAGGCTTTGACTAGAAAAAGACAGGCAAGTCAGTAGTGTCATATAACATGATGAGTTTAATTTCAAACAAAACACCCTGAATGATCAATCAATTATAATAATTCTGTACATAAACAAATATATACACCTGTTCTGGTAACTATAAAATGGGAAGTTCTAAATAATTACATCTCATGGGTACATCTCAAACAACTTAATCAACAGGTTTCTCAAAAGATAGTTGCCACTTCTAATTCAGTAGCCATAGTGACAATATTTGGACCCTGCTTGTGGACTGACGCACCCCCAGCGCTGTCCTCAAGCTGCTGCTGAGGGAAGTAGGAAGGAAGAGTCCCACATCTGGAGAAAGTCTGCATGTTGCTTCGCGTTTTGGGCCAATTTGTGCTGTACCCACAGTCCTTCCTATTTCCATTGGGATTGCTGAAGACGTGCATGGGGGAGAAGCCCATTGTGTATGCATTGTCTCTGGAGGCTCTGAAGGTCTGCGCTGGTATCGCACAATAAGTGCCCTGGGAATCCCCGGATAAGCCATTTGCAGAACCTGAAACTACATTGATATTGAAATAAAGATGAGAGGGTGTTTGTGCTGACATTTGCCACCATTTATCCTTCAATGTGACGTCTTGGTGACTTCCTCTTTACAAAGTTATGCATAAAATTAAAACTTAAAAAAAAATCTCCCAAGTGGGAAACTTACTTTTAAGCCTGGGCTGAAAGGTACTAAAGTTCTTCTTTCCTCCGTCGCCACTGATATCAGAGTCACTGTCATTGAAGTCACTGTCCCCTTTTCCGCTGTCCTTCACGCTCAGCTGGTCGTTGTTGCCCATGCCACTATAATCAACAAATACAGTATGAGGCACAACCACACATTAGCTTGATTATTGATGTTCTTTTTCACATGCGATGCTCTTTGATGCCCCGTCTAACCTAATTCCACAGGCATGCCACGTGCATCGTGCAAGCAGGCTTTTTGATCAGAAGGATATTTTGTTCATAGTGAGGCATGTTCCCGTCTATCTCACCTCACTTGAAGGCAGAACCTGTCGCCTTGCCAAACCGACGTCGGTTGAAAATGCTTGGAGGGCAAGAAGATCTGAAAGAACAAAAACAGCAGAGAGCTTAGTTTCCATATCTGGCACAAAGATCAAGTGCAAAGAAAAAATCAAGAAAGAAAAGATGGAAAATAGTGAAAAATACCAGTTGTCTCACCTTTGTCTCCGAGTCCCCGCTCCTCTCCTCGTACAGGCAGGACTCATCCAGTGACAAAGACGTCCTGTCGTGGAAGAATCCTCGCTGGCCCGTGTAAATGTTTGGTTCTGCTGAACTGAGCATGGGCAGGGGCCGGCCATCAAACAGGCCCTGGCACACTTCTCTCTTGCTGCCACGGCTTCTCCCCCCACGGCTGGCTTTGCATGTGACAGCCACAACTACTATTGCAATTAACAACAATGCACAGCCCCCACTGAGCATAATAATGATAATTAGTGAGCCATCAAAGCTGGAGCCCTCCTCATCACTTGACCGCAGCACAATGACGACTTGGTCTTCAGAAGGCTCTGTGTCAGAAACAACAAACCTAATAGTGGCAGTGCTGGAAAGCGGGGACCTGCCATTGTCGCTCACTGCTATTTTCATTTCCAGCACATCCCCAATTTCAGCTGTCAGCCATTGTTTTAAAGCAATTTCTCCAGTGTCTCTGCTCATTGTAAACAGCTTTGGGTCACCTTGTACAATTTGGTAGCAGAGTTCACCATTCACTCCCTCATCCTGATCTTCAGCTGACACTTGGAGGGCAAGATAGCCAGAGGGGGAATTGTAAGGCAAAGGAACATCAGCAGAGTGATTGACGAACACAGGGAAGGTAAAGTATGGATAGTTGTCATTCTGATCCACAACTCTAATCCTGATTGTGGATGTGCTCGAAAGAGAAGGGGAGCCGTTGTCATCTGCTTGGATGATCAGTTCAATCTGCTGAAGAGTCTCATAATCAAAAGACCTTAAAGTGTACAGAGACCCTGAGAGTGAATCTACTGAAAAATAAGTTGACAATGGGGATCCTCCTGGGACCTCAGAATCTATGAGTTTGTAGGAAACTTTGGCATTCTTTCCCATGTCGGGATCTCGAGCGACAACTGTGGTCACATATGAACCTGGAATGTTATTCTCAAGGACAGAAACTTCATACAGGGACTTGCTGAACAGAGGGGGGTTGTCATTCTCATCTGTAACGCTTATGGTATAGTGCCTGACAGTTTTAAAAGGTGGGTTTCCCAGGTCCTCTGCCAGCACAGTCAGGTTATACTCATGGATCTTCTCTCTGTCTAAAGTCGCGGTGGTAACAATCATGAAAGTGTCCCCGTACGCCTGCTGGAGGGTGAAATGCTCGTGCCCGAGCAGGCTGACGCGCACGTACCCGTTGGAGCCAGAGTCTCTGTCCGAGGTGCTGATCAGAGCCACGAAGCTCTCCGCGGCCGCGGCTTCCGTGATGAAGGCGACCCCATCGCTGCTGGACGTCATGGGCTTGATGGTGATTTCGGGCGCGTTGTCGTTCACGTCAACGATGTCTATCACAACTTTGCAGGAGGACGGGACGGAGTTCTCACCCAAGTCTGACGCTCTGATGTTCAGCTCGTAGGACCTCTTCTTCTCAAAATCGACGAGCGCCTTGAGCGTCACGTCGCCGGAATAAGCGTCGACGTGGAAAATGCGCGCGGCTTCAAACGACAAGCCGTCAGCAAAGGCGTACACCACCTCGCCGTTAATCCCGTCGTCGGGGTCAAACGCGTGCACTTTGACCACCCGGTGTCCCACCGGAGAGTCCTCGTACAGCTCAACTTTCAGAGAGCTGTGCTCGAATATCGGGCTGTTGTCGTTAAAGTCCAGCACGCGGATGTTTACGGTCATTGACCCGGTCTTCGCAGGCACCCCTCCGTCAGAAGCTGTGACTTCAATAGTGTAGGAGTCCTCCACCTCCCTGTCCAGCTCCTTCACCAGCACCAGCTCCGCAAACTTCACCCCATCCTCCCCGTCGCGCACCTCAACGGTGAAGTGACTGGAGGGGGAAATGTTGTAGCTCTGAATGTAGTTTTCACCCACATCTTGGTCGAGGGCAATCTGAAGAGGAAATCTTGACTCCAGGGGCACGTTTTCCACTATCTCGATATTTGTCTCGTTGCGCATAAAGCGAGGAGAGTGGTCGTTGATGTCTTTCACCTCGATCTCCACGTGGATAAGTTGAAACTTCTCCCTGGAGTGGGCCACGATGTCAAATGCAATGAAACAACGCGGCGACCTGGGGCAGAGTTGCTCTCGATCAATCTCCGAGGCAACACTCAGAAGTCCGTCAATCTCCCTCATGTGAATTAAGGAAGAGTTACTTTCTTGCATGAAGCGGAATGATGTGTCCGGGTCGTCAGCCGGATCAATCTTTAAATCTTCAGACAAATTGCCTATCTCGGTCCCAGGTGCATCCTCTTCATAGGTAAAATACCTCGTAGTTGTACAGTGAACGATGGATGAAAAAAAAGCAAGCGCCACACAAAGTCCAGCATATAAAATCTTGGAAAATCCCATATTGAGAAGTCTTGAAAATGCGGCCCAAAAACGTCAAAAATGACGCAAGCAGATATCCTGATTGTTGGCTCTGGTCAAATCACAAATGCCTTCAACTCTAGCTGGTTGACTTTAAGTCCGGCTGTATGCAAATAGCCAGCCCATTCGACCAATGGCCTGAGAGTGGTGCGCCAAAAGGAAAACGTTTGGCTCCGAGTGAAGCTACACCTCACTGTTTGGGATGCAAATGGGTCATTAGCTAAACTGATTGAGGTACTTCAAACGGCCGATAAGGGTGTTTCTTAATTTAAACAGCACATAACAATTAATTAACTAACAAAATTAGTTGGGGAGTTGTCTAATAGGAAGGATTTATTGAGTGAGTTCCGCACCCAGGAAGAGCTGGAGACACATCAGTGTTATCACACTTACTGCACAAAGTTAACCAGGGCTGATGGGAAAAGAAATATCTTAAAATAATTGTATTAGAATAATTATTTTACTTGGGAAACTATACACTGTTGCTTTTTTTTTAACCTGCATACGGTTACAGTGTTTTTAAGTTGTGACTGTACAGTTTGTTTGGACTCATTTGTTACCGACTACTACTGTCTAAATGATATAGTATTCTATTTATATTGGCAAATCAGTTTTCTATATGAAACCTTTATTTGGAATGTACAGCTAAAAGATAACTGTAATGCAGTGTAAAACCAAATACAGTTTGACAAAGAAAAATGTGTCCTCAACAAAGGCAGAATAACGATAAAAAATTAGGAAATTGAAATGTGCAATAATAGAGGAAACGCAATGTAATAATACGTTTTGGGAGCATTTCCAACAAACCCTTGTGAATAAATAGAGTGAATCATTCTAAGGAGTTCTATTTTATATTAGATCAATAAACAACATCTTAATAATAAAAATCTTTTTGTTGTTTTAGAAAAGAAATATACACTCATTCTGAGTCTGATGCAGGAACCCAGTTAGAAAAAAACAGTTAAGACTGAAGCAGCAGGGGATTTTATGATCTGCTGTCCATAATATCATTAAAAGATTTAGAAAATCCAGAGAAATCTCTGCCTACAACAGGCAGGGCTGTGCACCAATACTACAGGGTGGTGATCTTCTTGGCCCTCAGGCATTAAAAACAGACACAATTCTTTGATGGAAATCACGGCAGAAGAGGCAGAAAAACACCTCTAAAATCCACGCCATCAAGCAATGCTCCGGGGTCCATCTTTGGTGACTTACTGCAAGCACAAATGCAAATTCTAAGTCTACTTTAGAGGGAGAAATAAGCAAGCACAGAGGAACATAATATCCAAAAATACTGCTGCTTACTTTGGTTCCAATTCACATAAGATGGACTGGTGAAGAACTGTCCCATGGTGTGATGATTTAAAAGTTTTAATCCGATGATTAAGGAAGCTGTTTTGTTAGGTGTTGATGAGAGAAGGACCATCACATTTGTTTTAAATTTACACAGTTAAAAACTATACTTTTTTAATTTTTAAGAAGTTCTGATTATTTGTACTTGGCATTGTAAACCTACATTCTCCCAAATCCTTTAAAATGTAACCAGTTCACATCCAGCAGATCTTTCTCAACAATGAAATTCTTAGATTTAACATCTGACATTTTCCCCCTTTCCAATTTTAATAACAAGTAAAATCTTTGCAAGTCAATAAACTCTTGATATGTTATGCAGTATCCCAACTTTTTATGGAAAACAGAATCAGAGATTGATGTTGTGCTCAAATTTTGAAGCTTGGGCTGAATCAATAAATGTTTATTCCTTTCAACTTGTTCCCTCCATTATGTGTATTCATGTGAATATCCCCCATCTCCAGAAGAAAAAAAAAGCATTCATCTTGTTTTCTAATGAGGAGCTGTAGACTTTCATCTGCAAAAATAGAGAGGGAGGAATTTGGTGGTTGAAAAAAAAACACAAAGCCAGACAAGTGTGATTTGATTAGTGTTTTGTTTTGGACGCCCACAATGCTAATTGCACATAGAATATCACTGTAGTTCTGCATTAGCAGAAAAACCTGCCGGCACAATCAGGATCATCTGTAGTGTAATAAACACCCAGTTGCACTTAATTTACTCCCTTCATAACCTTCATAAATAGGTCTATAACATTAGCATTGGAAGTTAGAAGAATAAAGAACAAAAATCATCCACCTCCACACCCCCCACACACTCACACAAGCAGACACACACACAGCAGCTCTCACAGTGATAACAAAAGAGCATGAGTCAACCAGGCCTTTGTCACCCATATGGCTGATTAGCTTCTGCTGATTAAAAGGTGTCTATGGCTCTTCAAAGGGCTCTTGACACCTCACAAAAGTTTGAATGCGCCCTCGTGGGGGGACAGTGTCTGAGCCCCCCAAGAGAGTGCATACAGGAAGGTATAAAAAAAAGCAAACAATAAAATCCCAGAGAGCGCAAAGTTGTTTGACAGTGTGAGAGGTGATAAGTAGGTCTTTCTTGCCATGCTTAAAGCCTTAAACAAGCTCAATATCACTCACACACAGAATGTGAAAATTGATTGTCTCTGTCAAATAATTTAGACTACTGCTCTTGGCAAGACTACCGGGCAATTTTACGAGAAAACAATAAGAAAATGCTGGAAAACACTGTAGCACAGACGTCCTGTTCAGAACATACGCTGCTAAAAATGAGTATTTCCATTCTTAACTTGGAACATGTTTCAATCAGATCACATTACAGCAGATGCAGCTACTTGTAGTCGGTTTTTCAATTCCAGGGCACACTAGTTTGTTTTGCTTTTCCACAAATCTTCATATCAAGAGGTATTAATGCAAAGGACGAATGATCCAAATACAAATATACTTGCTGATGTTAGTCGTACAAGAGCCTTGCAACATATCTGGTGATAATTGACACCCCTTGACTTATGGTAAAGTTGGATAATAACAACAACTTATTATTTTTGGTAATTTCTGTTTGGTGTCTGTTTTTGCACCTTCATTAAATACAAGATTGAACATGTGAACCCCAAGTCAGCAGGGGTTCAAAGACTTTTGGACAGTCGCATGCCATTACGAGCAACACAAAGCCTTGCACTGCAGTCCCATGCTGGCTGGGTGTTAAAATCCTGGATTTATGTGGCAACAAGGAGTCAGAGGGTGAAGCTGAATTATTAGCCAAATGAGTTATCTGCCACTAAGAGGATTATGCTTTAATCTTATCAAATGTCTCAAACTTACCACTCAGTGTCGTGACAGTTTAAGAGTACCAGCTGGTGTTGAAATATGTTTGTCTAAGACAGACGAAACAATTCAACCAGCAGCAATGCAGGCCGTGATGATGTTCTCATTAGACGTTTTCTCTCTGTGAATGAGCTAAGTGGCTCTATATAAACCCTCACCCACCCATGTCCAAAGTATTTTTCCAATCAATACATCTCTACAAGGTCAGCAGGGGTAAAGCCACAAACAAAGCAAGGCTAACACAGAAGTGATACTTGTTTGTCACTTAAATCAGGTGATTAATGCAGATCACGGCCTGATTAAGACGTGTGTGGTGGCAGTAAGAGCCTTACCGCAGATTAATGGCTTTGGCCATCTGTTTTCTCACTGTGCTGATTTTAATTAATGTTAAGAATATTGTTAATCTTGCCTTGGCAGTCAGCATCACAGTAATCACAACAATGTTCAGAAATCAATCTGATATCAGCCATGCCTTTGACATCATTTGGAAGGGCATTTGAAGATTGTGAGTCTTCTGTCTGGCATGTCTCCAGGCAGAAAAGGCATTTGGTAACACTTGGAGCTGTAATCCTGGCATATGTCACCAGGAACAAATGTCTCAAAAGCCCACCTTTTGCACAGCCCTCACAATGCCACACGCTGCTGCTGCAAAAAATCTCCTAGTTTTCTGCCATGGTTCCAAGTTTTGCAATAATGTTTTGTTTCACCTTTTCATGCTGACTCATTACATGGCAGATATTAACAAATGCATGTCGAGCTGTGAATTTGTCACCGTTGAAAGTCTGTGATTTTAGTGAATGTTGTTTTCGTGGCTTCCTTTTTAGAAATTAAAGTACAACTTGGATTGAGACATTCTTTTTGTAAGGTTTAAATTGGACTAACATTGCATGTTGAAAGTTTGGCTTTAGCTGGTAAAATGCAATATTACATTTTTTTCTACACTTGTGTAAATGTGAAGACAACAGGCAAAGTCATGTACACACATCGAACAAGAGCAGTGATGCAGTTAGAACTATTTCTTTTTCTGCAAAAATGGGATGTAAAAAACTCAAAGGGGACATAGGAGTCCAAATAGAAATTAGAAATTAATTGGCTATGTATTTAAAAAGGAATTTAATTAAAACATTGCATATACAAGAGGTGAAAATATACAAATCTGAATGCATATTAAGCATCAAGCATTGGAAGATGAATTTAGAGTTTTCAGACATCGACATGAAATACAAAGTGTTAACAGGGGCTTTGGATCATGCATGTGGAAGTGTGCCATGACACAAGCAAAAGAGACTTCCAAGCCCTCTGACTCACACAAACCTGTGCTTGAGAAATCATATATTTATGTGCTAGCGCCAGAGACAGCGACAAGCTTTTGTCAAAATGACTATATGGTGTTAAGGGGTCCGACTCATATTACTTAGGTCTGTCATACCAGCCTAGCTGGTTACCAGGGTGACAAGTCCCCGCCCCAGGTGGCGGTGACGATAGTACCAGCTTATCCACAAAGCTGGAAATTCATTCATTAGAAACCCTGTTTGGTGCCTGGACTTAACTTGATGGTTTTAACTAAGTGTAAGCACAGCCAAACACATTCTGGGAGCAGCAGGAAAATGAGACCACATAGGCATTTCTGTGAGAGAATTACAATTTCAGATGACCTCAGAATAAAGAGTAGTCAGTGTTAATGAAGCCAAATTATATCATTAAGGACTTTAGACAAATCTGTTGTTTCCTTTTTCACTATTGCTTCTTTCTACTTTCAGAAAACATGCATTTTAGTTTTATTACATAGGGATTTCAGGTTGGGAGGAAATGTGAGCGAGCGTTGTTGTTTGTCTCGTCTGTGCGTTCCGGT